GCAAGTAACCTGGAGCATTTTGTGTGTGGAATTCACGGGCTTCATTTTCTCAGCCAATTTTGCCCAAATGGCAACTTACACGGATTTTGTGTCTCTGGGCCCTGGAGGCTAGGAGAGAGGGAGGGGCCCCAGAGCTTAGGGGAAAGACATGCCAGGAATGACATCTTCGCTGCAGAAAGGTCACGGCACCGGTATCGCTGGTCTTATCGAGGTTTGGAGCCTGTTCCAGTCCCTGGCTCCTCCACAGCCTTTGATACATTATCGCTGCCTCTGGGCCTCTGTTTCATCAGTGGCAAAACTGGTATGTGATTTTTCTGTGACTTCTCCCACTTTGGCTATTTCACAAATACAGGAAGAGAAATTTTTGAAGTTTCTGACTTTGTCGATTACCTTCATATTCCAGCCAGCCTAGAGAGCCCCTTTACCTACCTACGTAGGTTACTTGAAAGGACACCTTTCTTGCACATAAGCAGCCGCAGAGAGGCAAATTCTCCAGAAAGAAGCCCCTTCTCTCCAGGTATAATAATATTTCAGCAAGGCTAAGGCAGAACTGGGTTCGGTTTTCCTGCGTGATGGGAGGTGGGGAGGGGGCGGGTGGTGTGCGACTCCCCACCTGGGCTGCGCCCTCTGAATGTGCCCTCAGGAGTGAGGCGGGGAAGGTGGGGGGCCACCCCTGGGCAGGCCGGTCACACGGAGCCCCACTGGCCCCCAGTCCCCACCATCTCACTCGGCCTTCTCTGAAAGGCTTCCTGTGGGCACTTGGTCCAGGAAAACTAGGCATCTGTCTCCTGAGGAGTCTCACCTGGCCCCTCCCCGGCCTCTACAGCCTGAGTACTGTGGTCGGGCCTGGTGGCTTCGGTCACTGTGTGCTCTTGCTGTCGATCCACGTGAACGTCAGATGAGTGAAGTGGCTCTTAGCTCACGGGCCGGCAAACAGATGGGCCATCAAGTAATAATGAAGATGACTTTTCCAAACTGATCCGTGCTCCTCCTCCCACCTGTGTGATAAAGGTAGAGCTTCTGGATGACCTTGGACAAATCACTTCCTTTCCTTGCCTGTTTCTGTGGCTGTGAAGTGAGAGGGTTGGATGATTTCTGTTCCTAATTGATAACTTTTGCCTGGAAGGATGGGTTTGGGCCTTCAGTGTTTGCTAATCAAACTATTTACAAAGAGTGAGCATCTGTTTTAGTTCAAAATCCCGTTGTATGTGCAATGTTAGAAAGCCCACGGGAGAAAGAAGAGCACCCTCGCCTGCTCAGCTGTGACCTAGGCTGTGACATTTCAGGGTCAAAGGTGACTGAGCCCTGGAGGGTGGGGATGCGCGAGAGGCAGCCAATCAGAATTTCTCTCCCTCTCTTTCTCCCTCCCTTCCCCTCTATCTAAAAATGGAGGGGGAAAAAAACCCTTTAAAAAAAGGTGATTGAAGAAAGGCACAAATATCCAAATCCTGTTCATCCTCCCCAGCCCAGACGAGAAGTCATCTCCTCAGGGAAGACTTCTTCAGGCTTTCAAGTAGAGGCTGCTCTGGGTCTCCTACCAGGTGCTGGAAACACAGACCTGAGGGAGACTGTCTCGGCCCAAGTGCCGCCCCGCTGTGACATGACACACGCAGAGGGTCCCAGACCAGAAGCTGACTCATTACCTGGAGGAATCAGAGGTTTCTCAGGGGAGATAAGTCCTGAGTCTTTTCAAAGGTAAGGAACCTGACTCTGCCCCCAGTGTCTGATTAGCTGCTAATTTGCAGGAAACGCCAGGGAGGACAGAGGAGCTGGTTGAGCTGCACCAAGAGCTGACAGGCAGTGACGTCTAGATTACAGGACACTGTGCAGGTCCAGTGGGCCAGGTTCCTCACAGGTACGCCGCCAGGGACTGAAAGGGGATCCTAGTGATTGAAATACAAATGCTTAAAAGGTATATCAGTTTTCAAAATGAGTGAAGTTAAGCAATAGGTACAAAGATGAGCAGATGCTCGATTAGGTGATGAGTAAAAATGTGAGGAGGGATCACTATAAAAATAGGGGACGTAGCTACTTCCAGCTCTGGGGAGGGTGACTGAGGAGGGGCGTGTATGAAGGAGGCTTCTGGGGTGTCAGGCAAAGTTCCCTGACCCGGTTGGTGTTCTCATAATTAAGACATTCACTTGATTTGTGCGGCTTTTGAATAGATGTAATTGTAAAACAGAAGACTTAAACATATATTTCTCCGGGATGGGATATTGGACTGAAACCGACAGTATGAGGCAAATTGTATGCACTTGCCAAATTCTGCTTTTGAGTTAAATAATATTCACTCCCAGGAAGGAAGAGGCCTGACCTCAAGTAGTTTATATTTTCAAAAATACCCTGGAGGTTCTGGCTGCCCACAATGCAATGGCCATGCCCGCCTCTGCGGCTCTCCAACTGTGGTACCAGAGGCCCCGTGTTCTGTCCTGGACTCTGAAGGGAGCCACGAGGGCAGCCTGAGCAAGGGGAAGCTGGCAGAAGGCAGGGCCTCTGCAGCTCTCGTTCTGCCCATCAGGGAGCGCTGACCGTAAGTCTCTGGATGGAGAGCCGGGGCACAGAGGTCCCGTCATGAAGTGGCAACGACCAAGCCCCGCTGTGAATGGGGCTGCTATGACTCGCCACCTTGGCACCCATGAGCGAGATGGGTGGTGCAGCTAGAGGTCCCTTTGCTTGTCCAAGGCCCAGGGTCTGATGTAGAAATGTAGAATTTCAGGCTACAAGGCACTTAGGAAACACTTTTTTCAACTTTTGAAGTTTGCAACTGAGGAAGCTGAACTCCAGAGCATGTGAGTGGTTTAATAGAGGTTGTACAAGTAACTCAACACAGGCGTCTCCTTCTGCCTCCACCCTCACCCTTGAAGGCCACTAACCTACCTCCAGCCCCACCAGGGTGAGTATCGATCCACAAAGGCCTGTGAGGTCATCACAAGACCTTTCTGCTCCCCTTTCACTATGGTGCTTGTATCTGACCAGGGCCTAGGATCCATACATGACCCCTACCTCTGGCCCTCCACCTTTGAGGGCCCGTATTTCCCCCAACATCTGCATGCTGACTTCTTCTGTACCTTGATCCTCTTTTACTGACTTTGGCCTGGTTCATCCACCCTCATCTGCTAGAGTGGAATTCTCTCCTCCAGCTACTGCTGAATACCTGATGTCCAGCCTCAGAGTTCCGAGGATCAGTAATCCAAATTAAAGCATATGATATAAGGCAATATCCAGTAATAGTTCAGGACATTTCCCCTTCCTATCCCTGGATATTTGGAATCTGCCTTTGTTTGCATTTAGTGACAATTCCATGATGAATTGAATACTGAGCCAGGGTGACACCCTAGTTCAGCATTCCCTTCAAAAGCCAAGAACATCTCTTCCATTTATTGGAACCTTAAGGAAAACGCAATCAATATACTTCCCTGCTGCTTGAGCCCCACGTCCTATCTTCTGATAACCTTAGACACCGTTCCAAAGAGACTGCTGACTTCCGGTCCACCGGAAGCTCCCTATGGTGCCCTGTACAACGGGGGCCTCCAGAAATGTAATGTGACTTTTGGTCACATTAACAGAAATATGGAACATACAATGAAGGAGGTTAAGTTCCCTTAATGAGATTACATACACAGCAGTATTTTCAGTGCTAAGTGTCACAACTGAAGAAGGAAACAGACAGACTGGAGTGTATCAGGAATGGGAGACACTCAACATAATGTTGTGTTCAATCGGGCAGCTTATCCTAGAGGCGACTTGGGGAGTCCCACAGCTGGCTGGGGGCCAGACTCAAAGGCTCCGTTCACAAGGGCTGGGAAAGGAATAAGCACCCACCAGCTAAATGTTGTTGGCTTCCTAACCTAGAGGAAAAGGCAGGGGGCAAGCATGGTGTGTAACTCACCTTTCAAGGACCAAATGGAAACCACAAAACATCTCCAGAAACTCAAACGCCCTTTCTAGGAAGTCCTCCCACCCTCAAGACCTGCAAAATGAGTATGGACTGGACCCTCCCCCACTCTCCACCCCCACTAGCTACCCCGGTGCCTAGTGCAAGCTGTTCACCTCGGGTGTCAGTGTCACTGCCGGTAACGCAGGGATCCCAGACAGGTCTGCCCTGTGCAGTGCGGCTGGGGGAGCGGAGCTGCCGGAAGAAGCTACAGTGCTGTGTGACCCTGGAACCTGGGTAGGGGAGAGACTGGAGGACGCCTGAACAAAATCCGAAAAGTAAAAAAATCAAAAAGCCAAGTAGCAGAAGGTGGGGAAAGCACATATGAGAACACTACAGCCCCACTGCCACACCCCACCTTCAAGGGCCAGGCACGGACGGGGTTCGAACCCGCGATCTTCGGTTTACGAGACCGACGCCTTACCACTTGGCCACCGCGCCTGACAGCCGAGCGAGCGCTTGAAACTCTCAGTGGAAGGGAGGTGGCGCAGGCGCTAGAGGGGTGATGCCCCGCCTCTGGTCCCGCCCCGGCTACCCGCCCCTGCAGACCCGCCTGTCGGGAACCCCCTTTCCTTCCCACTAAAGTCAAAGCCAAGCCCCACATCCTGCTGGTGGTGGTGTCCGAACCCGTAGTGCTTGAGAGCCCGGGCGGGCCTCACCACCCCCCCCCCCCCCCCCACCCCCCCCACCACCCCCCCACCACACCCCCCGCCCCCGCCAGCGTCCCTAGGGGCACGGCGTCCGCAGAGAGCCCGAGGTGAGGCCGAGGGCCCAAGTGGAGAAAACCCAAGACCGGTGCCCGTTACCACAGCACTTCCGTGGCGACCGCGGACCCCGGTGAGCCAGGGCCGGGCGTCTGTCCGCACTGGCGTCTCTGCCAGCTCCGTGAGCCGCTGTGTGACCTTGGCCGAGTCGTTTCCATCTGGTCCGCAGGTTACGCGAGCAGTGCAAGCTAAGGCCAAGTAGATTGGGAGCCAAGAAGAACGACAAGGAGGGTGCGGGCATGAACGGGTCTGGTCCTCGGAGAAAGGTACAGGGACTCTGGACGGATGGGGGCCAGGCCGCAGGGGCCAGGGAAGGTGACCCTTGCTCAGTGACGCAGCACGCAGGAGGGGCCCTCCCCGGGCTGCTTTTGCTCTGCCTTGCCCTTCAACCCCTGGCACTGGCCCTGTGCACGAGACTCCAAATAAATGCCCTCTTAGACAAGATAGCTTTGCCCGGGAGGATCCCACGTGGGCACACGAGGAGACCCCTGCTGGGTGCTCCTGACGACAGTGCCAGGGGGAGTGGACAACTAGAGGCGACCTGAATGGAAGAACCGGAATCCGTCCACACCTTGGAACTGTAGGTCACCATTAAAAGGCATGATCTAGACTCAAAGGAATGATGAGCAGCACAGAGCACAAAAGCACAGGTAATTTTAAAAAGCAGCATGTAGGACAATACACGCCATTTATTAAAGTAAAGGGAAAAACAAAGCAAGGAGTAAGTAAAAAGCATATAAAGACGACTGGATAGGGGACTTCATTGGTAATGTTTTCGTTCTATGAAAGAGGCAAAACATTGAAATAGTGAAAATATGAATGCTTATTGTGATACCGTATATGTGTGCAAATTTTCCTTAAATTAGCAAAGAAAAGGAAATTAGGTCCCCCTGTCCTGGTTTGACCCCTGGCCACAGCATCAGTTCCAGGAGAGGTGCGCGAACACGGGTTAGGGAGGAAGAGCCCTCCTCTCAGGGTGGGCGGGGCCAGCTGCCAACCTCCCTCCGGGCCCCGCCCCCCGGACACCGCAGCCAGGGAGGGGACACAAACCAGACCAGTTGGGCCACTGCCACAGCCATTCATCCTTATTTGCAGAACTTTTTAAAAAGTATAGATTGTGGTGCTTTGGGAAAACTCAGGAAAGCTATTTTTGTGTGCGGTAAAAAACACATAACAGAAAATGTACCATCTTAACCATCTTTAAATGCACAGCATAGTAGTGTTAACTCTATGCACATTGCTGTGCAACAGAGCTCTGGAACTTTCCATTTTGCAAAACTGAAACTTGATACCCACTGACAGCAGCTCCCTGCTCCCCACTACACCCAGTCTCTGGCCACCCCCAATCTACTTTGTTTTTAGGAGTTGACTCCTCAGGGTACCTCATATAAGTGGAATCGTACAGAATTTATCTTTCTGTGGCTGGCATAATGCCACTGAGCATAATGTCTTCCAGGGTGACCCAGGCGGTCACATACATGGTTCCCTTTTTAAGGCCCAATGGCATTCCACGGCATGTTTCTCTGCCCACGCGTCCCACCACGGCATTCCGCTTACTTCCACCTCTCGGCTCTCGTGAGTAACACTGCCATGAACACGGGTGTGCAAATATCCTGAGACCCTGTCTTTAGATCTTTTGGATGTATGCCCAAAAGAGGGATTGCTGGATCATATGGTAGTGCTGTTTATAATTTCTCGAGGAGCCACCATACTGCTTTCCAGAGTGGCTGCTCCCATTCACACTCCCACCGCCAGTGCACGAGGTCCCAGTGTCTCCACATTCAGGCCAGTGCTTGTTTTTGCCGTTGCTGTCATGTGATGGCTGTACTAAGGGGTACGAGGTAGCATCTCGTTGTGCTGGGGTTTGCATTTCCCTAGTTAGTGATGGAGGGCATCTTTTCATAGCTTGCGGCCATTTGGAAATCTTCTTTGGAGAAGTCTATTCAAGTTCTTTGCCAATTTTTTTTTTTAAATCTAGATTGTTGTTTTCATTTTGGGTTGCAGTTCTTTGTATTTCCTGGATATTAGTTGCTTATGAGATACATGGTTTGCCATTATTTCCTCCCGTTCTATGGGCTGAATTTTTTCACTCTGTCATTGTTTCCTTTCCTCTGCAAAAGTGTTAAGGTCAGTGTAGTCTCATTTGTCCATTTTTGCTTTCGTTGCTTGTGCTTTTGGCGTCATATCCAAGAAACCACGGCCAAATCCAATGTCAGGAAACTTTCCCACTATTTCTTCCTCCTAAGAGATATCCATTCAGGTCTTATGTTTAGGTCTTTAATCCATTTTGAGTCAATTTCTGTCTGTGGTATAAGTAAGCATCCACTTCATCTTCCGTATGTGAATATCCAGTTTTCCCAGCCTACGCTGTTTGTTCAAGAAACAGGGAAGTTTTTAAAAAACAATTTAAACCGGAGGGTTCGAAGGACACGTGACCATGCCACCGGACAGAGTGCCGCCTGCCCTCTTGCGTGTGTAAAACTCACTGCAATTCTTTCGCTCTGAGGTGTGTGTTCTCACATTTTAAATTAGAAATCAAGGGCAACAACTGGCCACAGGTGATGGAGTCATACATTTCATTGGCAACAATTTTTCCTTTTCAGTGGCACATAATGTTATTTTTTAAATCGCAGGAGAGCCAGACTTGTTTTCACATTTGTGTGTCCCGGGGTATCCTGATGTTCTCACTCTCCGCTGTAGGGTGAGCATTCCCCACGTCCTTCGGGGTGGATCGCTTCCTCGGCTGCAACAGGTGTACCGCTCTGGTGCAGGGTGCAGAGTGGGGAAGCTGTACGTGGTGGGGGCAGGGTAATATGGGAACTCTGTGCTCTCCACTCAGTTTTGCTACGGACCTAAAACTTCTCTAAAACAATAAAGTCAATGTTTAACAAAATACTCCCCAAAACACTAAAAAAACATAGATGATTCTTGAATCTTTTGCTTTCTGACCCACCTGCTATGAGTCACACTTGGGTTTCATTTTGGGTTGCAGGAGTTCTTTGTATTTCCTGGACTGCACTTGGGTTGCTCCCTGATGGGGGTCTGTCCACGTCTACTCCTCAGCTGGGTAGGCCCAGGCACCTGGATTTGCCCTTACTTGCAGGAGTAAGCAGCCATAAGAGTGTGGTCTAACTTCTACTTTCTAAGTGTGTGTGTACCATTTTTAATACAGGGCTTTTGCATTACAAAGGCGCCCTGGTTCCGGAGCACAGAGCTCCCAGTGGGCAAGGATCAGGCTGTGCGCACCTTCCTGTGGGGTGGTGGTGGGAGCATCCAGTCGTTCCTTCCACAAACCCTCATTGAGCACCTGCTACTCGCCAGACCCTGCTCTCAGTGCTGGGGCTATAGCAGCGGTTAAGGAGCATGAATCCCTGCCCTCATGTGCTTTCATGTGTACATAAATAATCAAAACATATAGCAGATCAGCAAGTGGTAAGTCCTAGGGAGGAAAATCAAGAAGGATAGGAAGTTCTGGAGGAGGTGTTGATTAAATTCAGTCACAAATTCTTTGCTGCTCTTTCCCGTCTAAACGCGGAGTCTATTTCTCTCCTGTTTGGATATGGCGGGCCATCTGGCTTGCCTTGCCCAATAGAATGCGGTCAAAGTGATAGTACATAGATTCTGAAGCTTAGGTCTCAAGAGACCTCATGGCTTCTGCCTCTGCTGCGTTAGGCTGCCTCCCCTGTCCTGAGGCCACCGTGTGAGGAAGACGGTCTAGCGACTGGAGGACGAGAAGCCATGAGAAGCTTCCCAGCTGAAAGCCAGCACCACCTGCCAGACACATACGTGAGGACGCCTCGGCCCTTCCTGCCCAGCTGCCCTTCAGCTGAGTGCTGCTCCTGCATACCCAGCAGAGGAACTGCCACAAAATCATGACAATAATAAATCGTTCTTGTTGCAAGCCACTGCACTTTGTGGGTGGCTTGTTACGTAGCAGTAATAGTTCATGGACTTAGGTCACATAGAGCTAACACACCATTTGGTTCTAGGTTTGTAGGGCAGTGTCATTTGCATGGAATCGTTAAAACCTCTGAGATGCTGGATGTGGCCGGGGCCATGCCCAGCGCCCCCCAGCAGGCACTTGGCCTGTTTTCTCACCCATAAAATGGGAGCGTCAGTTAGCCGTGAGCCGCGGCCCTGCATGAGTTAAACATTGAACAACTCCCCTCATTATTCACTGCTGAAGTTAGCAGGGGAGCGAAATGCTGGCTTGCCCCTTATTCCTCGGGTGTAGTAGCAACTTGACACTTGCCCCTTTGGTCAAGTTTCACAGTCTCTCTGCCAGCACAAAAGCGTCTAGATTAAGGCTGTGTTAATAGGAGAAAAAAGCAAACACAGCTTGAAACCTTCTTGGAATAGCATGCGGTCACATCTGTTGACATTTAAGTTAAGCTTGCTTTTCACAGTTAGGGTCAGTGCAGTTTGGTTTTTCTCTTTCATCCCCCCTGAGTGTTTATCAGTTACCTTCTCCTGACTCCACATGTAGGTGTTGCCTCCTAACAAAGTGCTTACAGGTGGCCGTGCAACTCAAGGGGCTGGGCAGCGCTCGTGGGTGGGTCACCAGCTAAATGAAATCCGGCTCCTCAGGGGCCCCCAAAACAAGGCAGGAGGCTCCGGGAGCACCGCCACTGAGCAGCTGCAGCCCTGGGGACTCTCGCCCTGAACCCGACCCTGCTGCCGTGGACAGTCAGTGCTCACCGTGGGGCTTCTGCACAGTCAGACATCTACCGGGCCCAGGGCAGAGGGCTTATGAACCAAGTCTCTCCCCAAGGTGGGTCCTGCTTGGCCGGATCCCTTCATGAGAAAGATGAATTTTCAGGGAGAGGAGAGACCGAAGACATGCTGTTTCATGTGTCTACTGCTGTGTAACCAACTATCTTAAAACCTAGAGGCTTCAAACAAGAACTCACTGTTTTTCGCGGCTCTCTGGGTTGACCAGGCAGCTCTGCTCCATCTGGTGTCGGCCGGGGCACTGGGAAGCCTGGTGTGGCCTCCCTCACAGGGCTGCCACTAGCTGGGAACCTCGGCGGGGCAGTTGGCTCAGGACCTCAGTTCTCCACGTGGCTGCTGGGGCTCCCCTGAAGATGCACGTCAAGGGAAAGGAAGCAGAGCTTCCTTCAGGTCACTTAAGGTCAGATCGGAGAAATCCCAGGATGTTACTTCTGCCACAGCTGATGCGTTTGTATCTATTGATCGAAATAGTCAGGGCGCCAGCCAGACTCGAGGGGAGGGGAAGGAAATGCCCCCCACCCCCAGTAGGCAGAGGCCTGCACGCAGGGAGTGAGTCACGGGCAGCCACCTGTGGACACTCCCTCCCACAGCTGCCGTTCATTGACCGTGACTTTGAGTGTGGGCACCAATTGATGCTCAGCCCAGGGCTAGATCCCACAGAGGATGAGGTGGGTCTCCTTTGTCTTCACTGCTCCCCCCTCAGAAAAACAGGCTCCTCCTGAGGGCTCTCTGGCAGGACAGGTCTCCTTCCGGCCCTGGCAGCCCCCAGAGTCGACATTCACCACACCCCCATTCCACACCTGCAGGACAAACACACGGAGGGGCCCGCCCAGACGCTGCCAGAGGCCAGCAGAGCTCAGCATTCGGTCTGGGGCCACCTGCTGGACTGGATGAACTGGCAGAGCCGAGTGGGAGCAGAGGGGGCCACTGGGCCAGAACGCAGGGGCGAGGGTCCCACAGGCCATCCATCAAACCGGCCATAGAACGTAGTCTCAGACTTCAGCCCTTTGCTCTCTGGGTTCGGACCTTTCAGAAGCACCCGCACTTTTTTTTTAAAACCCAGAGGCCACACCAATGTCCTGGAGCCCAAAGTGAAAGCCAAGGCCAAACCAGGGATAGCAGGAGATGGCTCCAGACCTCCTGGGCCTTAATGCCCATAACCATGCCCCTGAGCTTGGAGCACTATTGACCCTGTAGCCCACCTTAGAATGCAGCCCAGCCCGCTAGGCTGACCCACCGTGGAACCGCCATCCTTCCCGGGCCTCTGCTCCAGATCATGCAAACGGCTGCACGTGTCCGCACTTCCGCACCACCGCTCCCTCGGAGCCCTCTTCCCCGGGCCTCTCTCCAGCCCCTCTGCTCCCAGAGAGCTGCCCCAGGCTCCAGGGCTCAGCACATGGCTGCCTTCACCCCGAAGTCTCCCAGCCCCTAGGAACCTGTCTGCACCCTGAGCAACCCACTCCTTGGGTGAGTCAGTTGAGCCCTGCCCTGATTCTTCCCCACACCAGGCGCCTGCGTGTGAATCCTGGCCGACTTGTGGGTGGGTGGGTAGGTTGCCTGCGGTGGCTGAGTGTCCTCATCTGTGAAGTGGGGATGCTCCCACCACCCACCTCATGGATGTCGTGAGGATTAAATGACACACAAAGCAAGTACCTAGAGCCCTGAGTTGGTACGCTAACGTGAACTGCCTCCTTGTGGCCTCCAGCAGGATGAGCGTGGGAGAGGCCCTCAGACGGGGAGGCCTGACACCAGTTCCCACTGACCTGGGGCTCGAAAATCAGAGCACAGACGTCCAGATGGACAGACTAGAAGGGAACCTGCCCAGACCCTCACTGAGCACCCCCACCACTGAGCATCACCTGCTGACCACGGGTTCTGGACCTGACAAGGGCCGGTGTTGCTGCTCCTGCTGCCCCCGAGGCCTGAAAGGAAGAGCTGCAGGAAGAGCTCTTTCCACTTCTGGCTGGAGTCTAGTCACCTTCTGGAGTCATTTCTAGTGGCCTCAGGCAGACGCCCCTGCGGGGCTGTGAGACGCCTGGCTCCCCGGCCCAAGTGACCACCAAAGCCTAGTAATTCCAGCTCCTCATTACACTCCGCAAAGAACAACAACAGAGCAGGTCTCACCTGGGTCCAGACTGCCTCCATCTCTCCCTTGGTCTCCCAGCAACCTGCCTGGGCCCCTGCCGCTCTGTGAAACTCCACTCTGAGCTGGCGGCTCCCCGACAACAGTCGCTGCACCCCGCTCTCTACAAGGCCTTGCACCTTCTGCTGCTGCTCCCGTGTCCTCCCCAACCCCTTACCTGGCCACCTCCTCCTCCTCCCGCAGTCCTCAGCTGAGGTTCCCCTGATTCCTCAAATGGTTTCAGAGGTGATTGCACACGGGTGTTTCTCACCCCTGGCTACATGCTGGAATCACCTGGGGGACTTCGAAAAAAAAAAAAAAAAAACACCCAGTGTCCAGCCCCACCCTACCATCCGAATTCAAACCCCTGGCCCCAGACAGACAGGCACACCTCGTCTTATGCACTTCACCCTTTGAGCTTCACAGGTGCTGTGCTTTTACAAACTGAAGGCATGACCCCGCCCCCGCCATTAGAAAGATGCCAGGGCACTTTACTGCGGCACTGGCTTAATTGCCACAGCCTGGAATCAGGCCTGCAATGGCTCCAAGGTACACCTGTGTGCGTGTGGTTTAAAAGCCCCCAGGTGATTCAGATGTGCGGCCAGGATTGAGAATCTCCCACCCAGCATCCTGGAAGCTCCCTGTGTTGTGACTGTGGGGAGTGGGTCCGCTGTGCTCACGGTCACAAGCCCAGCACCTAACCCTACACTGGGTGTCTAGTAGGTGCTGATGAAACATTTGCCTCGTGGACGAAGGAGGCCCACCCTCAGCCCACCAGGCTCCACGTTGCCTCACCAGCCCCACCTCCCAGCCACGGTCCCGAAAGGGCTGTGCTCTCTAAGAGCCTCCCCCACGTGCGCTCCTGACTCCCACAGTCCTTCAGGGCTCTGCCGAGCCCCCGTCCGTGGGCGAGCCGTCCCTGATCCCCAGCTGGCCTCCGTCCCCTTGCCCCAGCTCCCAGCGCCCTCTGGACTCTTCCCTTGGCTCAAGCCTCCTCCCCCAGGATGGAGCCTCCGCTGTCTTTTCCGTGCCAGTTCCCAGTGCCAGTTCCCAGTGCCGGGCGCAGCTCAGCAGATTAAGTTAGCTGGCTGAGTGATTCCGTGCCCTTACACAGGGTCTGGCACGAACACCACAGCTGTTTTATTACAAAGTCTTTTATTACAAAAATCATAAGCATGTAATTCTGTAACATAACAATGCCACGCTCAAGCACACCATATGACATTTCAGGTGAAATGTTCAAATTAAAACTATTAATTATTGCAGTCATATTATTGCCCTACGAACCACACTGAAGCAGGCCCTACTTCTGCCGGAGCCTGTAGTTTTGACCCATGCAGGAGACTCTGACCTGGTCACCGATGACTCTGAATGTCCCTAAATTTGTGGGCCCGGTGAGCTGGCGGGATCTGACAATGAAACCCTTTGCAGAACTGTGACCTCTGGGGGCCGTGGGGATGCCACCTCCTACAGTCAGGGAATTTCTCCAAGGCTGGTGAGTGAGCACGCCCCCGAGCCGGGGGCACAACCTGTAGACACACAGCCGTGCGTGCGTCACCCCTCTCCAGAGCAGTGACCTTGTGTCACACCCAACAAGTGATGTTGAAGTCCTGAGCCACAGTGCCTTGCATGTAGCCTTATATGAAAATACAGTGCTTGAAGATGTAGTCAAGTTGAGATGAGGTCGTACTGAGTGAGGGCGGGTCCTGATCCAACGTCTGGCGTCCTTGTCAGAAAGGTGGAGCTAGGACACAGAGATAGATGCACGGTGCAAAGACAGCCCTGTGAGGATGCGGCCCCGAGCTACGGAGCAGCTGGGCTGAGGGGGGCTGGGGACAGGTTTCCCCTCGGAGCCTCCAGAGCGAGCCCACCCTGCCCACACCTGCATCCCAGACTCCTGGCCTCCAGAATGGTGAGGGAATAAACTTGTTATTCTAAGACACCCAGTTTGTGGTGTGTTTCTGTGAACGCCCTTAACAACTTAAACACAACAGAGGAGACACTTTCATAACAGACTTTTCGGGAAGATGAGTCTTACCTCCCCAAACCGAGATTCTGATTCTGCAAGCCCTTTCCAGCTCCCCGCTGTGGCCTGGGCACACGCTGTCCATTACCCCTCGTCACAGGTTCATGGAAGGAACTGGGGTTTCCTTCGCTTTAAGGCCGGGGCCAGGGACACAGACCGGTGAGCGCCCTGCTCAGTCACATAGGTAAAGACAGGGGGCAGGGCCCCAAACCCAGGTCTCTGATGGGAAGTCTCGGAATCTCCCCATGCACACAGTCTCAGAAAATGGTTAATGGCTTGATTATTGTAAAAGGCCAGCAAATTAGAAGTTAATGCCGGGGCACTTCAGCAGTGCCCCTGTCCCCACCTGGTCCTCAGGACTCTGTGGTGCCCCACATCCTTGGCTAGAGTCTGAGTTCACCTCCAGGCTCAGTCCTTTCCGGGGCTCCAGGTCTCTGCGCACACGCCCCCCTCAGCCCCGCCCCCCGCAGGCCGCAAGGGCGTGCAGCTGCTGGAAACACCAGCAGCCGCTCCTGGGTGGCTGGGGTGAGGAAGGCAGAACCTGTCTCGAAGACAGTAGTGGCAAGAAAGGAGTGTTTCTGAAACTGGGGTGCAGGGCAAGCACTCAGGAGTTGGAGGAGCCTGACTGGCCAGAGAGGGGCCCTGGAGAGGGGTGGAAATAGGGCCACCAGATTAGAGAAAAAAAGGCTCCCAGTTAAATTTGAATTTCAGATATCAGTGAATAATTTTTTAGTATTGCAGGGGACATACTTCAACTAAAAAAACTTCATTTCTGAAATTAAAATGTAACGGGGTCTCCTGTATCTTTACTTGCAGACTCTGGCACCCTCATTGGAAAGGAAAGAAGGCACGTTAGGGGCACGGAGAGCCAAGGTCCAGGAGAACACACAACCCCCAGTGCGGGAGACGACTTCCCCCGGAGCCCGGGGTGGGGCCGTGTAGATCCAGTGAGCAGGAGCCGCCTGCGGCCCTGGCAGACCCATGGCCAGGGCTTTCTGGGGATGTGCAGGGGCCTGGTCCTGCCTGTCCTAAAGGTCTGGCCAACAGGGAGGGCAGCTTCATCTCCAGAAGCGGGGCCTGGCAACCTGCGAACACCTTTGACACCTCGAATCCCACAATAACGAGAGGAAGGGGTAAACAAGCAGAGGGTAGGCATGGGGGGCCTGAGCACTCCAGGGCATGGCAGGACCAGCGCTGGCAGGTCAGCCTGCCACCAGGCTCAAGTGGAGGGCCTGGCCTGTGACCCAGGGGAGTCATGGTGGCTGGTGTGGAGGAAGATGGTGCTGGGACCTCATCAGAGGGACCAGAGTGAGTGGAGACCCCTGGGCGGCCCTCGCTGGGAAAGGCAGCACGGTTGCGGCGAGGACAAACTTTTCAAACCTCACAGCCCAGTGGCTGGAATGACGGTCTTACAGGAGCTTCTGGGATCCGCACCTCGTCCCCTAGGGAGAGCCGAATCTGCAGGGTGCCCCCAGCTGCTGGAGGACAGCACCAGCCGCCCTGGCATGCCGTGCAGCGCCCACCCTTCCCCAGGAGTACTGGAACCACGCTGCACCTCTCCCACCTCCCGTCCCCACCACAGAAACTCACCATCAAGTCAGGCAAGAAAAGCAAACTGTTTATTTACACCTTGGTCTGTACATTAGTTCCCAGAAAAGCCCGCCTCTGAGAGCCAGCTCCTTCTTGGCTAGAAGCAGGCCGGAGACAGAGAGCTCGGGATCCTGGGACCCGGCCTTGGGGCCTCGTCCCACTCTCCCCACCGCGGGCCTGGAGGGGGAGGCCTCCCCTGAGCCCCAAAGCTAACCTGCTTCCAGATGGAGGGTCCTGGGTCAAGAAACTCAGGTGGAGCCCCACAGACAGCCAAAGCCATTCAACCAACCCTCGGGGGATGAGACCTGAGACCACATGCGCAGTCGGTTCCATTTGGCCCGGAGACCCGGCCGGGAAACAGTACGCGCAGGCGCGGGACACAGGGCGCCAGCAGGCAGCAGCAGCAGCGCCGTCTGATGGCGGCCTGACCGCTGCGGGGGGAGGGGGGGGTGGTTAATGGCACCCGGGTCTGAGCACCTTCAGCGGACGAGGAAGAGCTTGGCAGTTGTTAACAGCAGATAGGGGCGGCAGCAAGAAGCCGCCTCCTCCTGCCCACTTGTCCGAAGCTGTCCTAGATCCCGGACAGCAGCAGCTCGAACCCAGGCCCAGGGCCGCAGCCGCACAGCTGGAGCCGCCTCCGGGGGCCCTAGCAGGGGGGGCAGCCCCGCAGCGTCCCTGCCGGGTTGAGGCCTGGGTTAGCGAGGCGCATGCCGCCATCTGCACATGTTGACGCCAACACAGGCAGAGGTTTGCGGGAGAAGCTGCTTTACACACTGCCACCCCTTCCAGGTGTGCGGGCTTCTAAACTCGCAGCAGGCTGGATGAGCGACCACGTGGGTCCCCAGGCTCACGACCAGAATGAAAAATCCTGTACCAAGTGACCGCGTCTGCATGGCTGAGTGAGCGGAGGGCAGAGGGGTCTGACCCCGCGGGGGAGCGGACCCTGCCTGGCAGAGGCACGTGGACACAGAGTGGAACACTATGTACACATTTACAGGGCTCGGGAGGGGCGGGGGCCAACGCCAGGATGTAGAAAAGGGGCAGTGGTCACGTGGAAATCCTGTACAGCGGTGACAGGGAGCAAAAAGGCACAAGGACAACGACCCCAAACCATGCAGACAAAACACAGCCTGCGCAGCGCAGCAGAACAGGGGGCCCGCCAGGAGGCGCAGGCTCCTGGGACAACAGCACTTGGACCCTGCGGGGGTGGCCGAGATGCCACCGCCAGCCCCTCTGGTGGCCCGGGGCAGACATCCCTCTGTTCCAGTCACAATGGAAACAGAAGCACGAGGTTGGGGCATCAAAATCATGTGGTGTCACGCTTCGCCAGGGTTCATGCTTTCAGGAGCAAACCTTTCTGAAAAGCTGTCCACTCTTCCAGGTGGGCAGTGGCGTGGCGGAAGAGCCTCCGAGTTGTGCTGCCGTGCAGGTTGGGCTGGCCTCTCCTGCGCCCTGCCCTTTCTCACACCCGCAGACAGAGCAGGAGGGCAGGACCAGAGGTCCCCGGGGTCAGTGAAGGGAAGGGACTTGCTCAAAGTGACTGGGGAGGGAGTGGCCCCCACACTTGGGACCCTTCAGCTGGCAAGCCCCGGTCTCCCCAGCCAGAACCAGAGTCCTAGGGGGCTGCCCCGGGCCTGTAGAAAGGAGGGCTGGGGGGCGGCAGCGATGAGTGGCCCTCTCCTCCATTTAACACCCCCCCCCTTTAAAAGAGACGCTGATGATGTGCCAGGACAGCAAAGTCATTTCCTTGGCATGGTGGCCGTCCACAGCGTCCTCCGTTTCAATCACACCTAAGATTAGCTTTTAGGTGTATATTTGCTAGTATGTTAAACACCATACCCATGGAGCACAAGAGGGCTAATTTCTCCCTGAGCCACAGGCCCACTTGCCCCTGCAGGCCTCTGTCCATTACGAAGTCCCTTGTGGCAGCAAGAGAGCCCACCCCACACCCCTAACTACCAGGCCGCCTTGGGCCGGGAATCGGACTCGCCAGGGTAGCAGCCCCTGGGGCCTCCTGGCTGCAGGCCAGGTGCTGGTTTGGCTGCGAACAGGGGAGGGGCTGGGGCAGCCTTCACCCACCCTGGTGAAAACCGGCTGGAGGCAGACCCCGAAAAGCCAGCAGCCCCTGCAGCTCAGCTGGGGGAGGAGGTGACTGCTGTTTCTGAGGCTGCTGGTCAGCTCCCTACCCCGCTCCGCTCCACTCCACTCCCATATCCCAGCACGTGCCACCCACGACTGCCTGGGAGCCAAGCGGACCTGCCCACTCAGAACTGCTAACCCCCGGGCTGCTGACAAGCGCTGGATCCACCAGCTCCTGAAGGCATCTGGCCTCCCATCCTGGGGGCAAGGGATGTGCTAACCTCTCACCATCTGACTTCCCATCAGGAAAAGCCACTGACACCCGAGTGGCTTTTGGCCAGCACCCGGGTTAACAAGCCCAGCAGCCATCCCCACCCCTGCCAGCACACAACCCGCTCTGCCAGGGCCTCAGCCCCGGCTGCACGCTGGCATCACCCGGGGAGCCCTTTTAACCCGTGGACGCCTGGGCCACACCCACACCAATTAAACCCCAACCTGGCGGGGGCAGGGGGGTCAGCCCAGTCAGCAGAATTTTCTAACCCTCCCCAGGTGACTCCAGTGCCTGAGCGGAGCTGAGAACCAGTTTCAGGTCCAAGGGCTGCGGAAAGTTCTCGAACTTTGTGTGTTTTTCATAGGTCGGAAATAAAGTCAAGCTAAAGGAATCTCTCTCTTACAATTTGCAAAGAATCTAACACATTTAAAATAAGATACCTTATCTAAGGTTGGCCAATTCAAAGTTTAAAAAACTTTTTTTTTTTACCAGGACTTTGTATCTTATACTTTCCCACAGAACAGGGCCACCTAATCCAGAAAGTGCTTCCTTTGCTATCAGATACTGTCCATAAAACTAGCTCGCGGGTTCAGCGGATTTTGTCTGGTCTTGACTTGAACCCGAGGACGGCCCAGCGTCTGCACAGCGTGACTCTGCCGCGGGAGCCCCCCTGCCCCGACACTTCCGTACTTCAGGCAAGGTGGTGCCGGCCCGCCCCTACACGGGTTTGGCAAAAACAAAAATCAAAACCCACATAGGACACCCAGTTAAATTGTAACAAATTACAATCACCTGGGGTGGGGAATCCTTTGAACATTCTGATGCCTGGGCTGCACCCACACCAGTGAAATCAGAACCTCTGGGGATTTGACCTAGGTATCAGGATTTCAAAATCCTCTCCACTTTAAATATGTGCCAAGTATTGCACAGAATATACTCCTCCTAAAAATTATTTGTCATTAACCTGAAATTCAGATTTACCTGGACATCCCATGCGCTAGCTGACAGCCCCAGTACTAAGAGGCAGGAGAACTCTCGCCCTGAGAACCGGCGAGGGGGGAGGGAGCACAGGAGACGGCGGTCTGCCCCTTGCACCCACCCAGGGGGAGCACAGCTCCCACCCGGCCCGCGGGCGGGGGGGATGGTGGGGGGAGGCCAGGGCGCCTGGGCCGTCTGCCCTCCTCAGGCTAGCTTCCAAGCGCAGAAGAGCGCTTTTTAAAAGTCTGATTTTAAAAAGCCAATTGGACAGTTTTATACGAGGTATTCTGGCCGAAGTCAGAGGGGCAGGTGTAACTTTAGGTGTGTGTTCCTGGAATTCAGTCTCGCATGAAGTAGAGACTGCTCCCTCTTCCTGAGACCCCAAGCCCCACACCAGGTCCCCAGGGGCCTTTCAGACGGGTGCTTCCCTGGAGCGTTCGTGGCCCCGCCTGCCACTCAGGCCTCTCCTCGACCTTCTGGAGAATTCCACACCAACGTAGCTAAAGAGCACGTGCAGTTTTACACATAGAACGCTGGTCTCTGGGGCGCCGGCCTCTCTGCAGGACTCCCTCCCAGTGAACCCAGACCAAAGCCCTCAGGCTGCGGTTCTTCTCTCCTGTCCCTTGGATTGTGGCCACGCCTTCCCACCAGCACGTTCTCAGAAGACCCACTCCTTAAGTCACCCTTCCACGGCCACTGCTCAGACCCTCAGGGGAGCCCGAGGAGGCCAGTGTCGTCAGGGTGAGAAACCCCCAGAGGACTGACCCTGCCCTGGCCCTCCTGGCGCGGGCGGCCGGAACTCCTGGGTTGGGCCAGTGTGCCCCGCCACTGGCGGGACAAAAACAAACCCCGCGCACAAGCCCACAGAGAAACCACAGAGTCCAACGGAAGCAAAAGTGGACTGGCATGAGGGATGGTCAGTCGTGGCCACAGACCTGCCACCGTGAGCAGGGACACACCCGGTTCCCCAGGTGCCCTCCGCACCCCCCACTGCCCTGTCCCCTCCCATGGTCCCCTCTGTTCCCTCTCTGGTCCCCTCTGTTCCCTCTCCGGCACGCCCAGACTTCCCCTCTGCACCAGGAGTGCTAACGAAAGCAACCTGCGGGGGAGAAAAATAAGGACCATCCACGTGTATGTCTATTTGGATTAAGGAAACGCATCAGCCCTATACAACGGAGAAACACAGGAAAAAACTAAAAAAAAAAGCACCGTACCTACTCCCAGCTGCCTGGAACGAAAAACTGCATTAACATCCATCCAGAGTGAGAATTCTCACACATCCCATGAAGATGAAAGACTAAGGTTTCCCTGAAACTCCCCCAGCTGACCCCCAGGAGCCCAGCCCAGCCCGGAGCCCCGGCTCTGAGTGCCCAGACCCGAGGCCCGCTGTTGCCAGGCTGTGCAGAGAGCAGGGACTGGGGAGCCAGGCCCGCCCCGGCCTGCAGACGCAAGGATCCACCCCGGCCTCTTTCAGAATGCAGCCGGGAGAAGGACACTGCGGGGCAGGTGAGCATCACCCCCGCCCCTCAGCCTCCTTCCCCTTCTTTTGAATCCCTACACCTTACAGCATTTCTCCTTGTCTTATAAGCAAAACAAAAACAGGAAGGGAGAGGTAGATAAGCAGGGACAGGCGCTCTAAAAATGCCGAGAACTCCCAGAATGCGGGTGGGTCTTCCCAAGCCTGAGTCCCTGGGACACAGCTTGCTCAGGCTCACAGGGGCGGCCCGCCCGGGAGGGGCTGAGAGGCCCCCTTCGTGTTCCTCCTGCATGCCCCTTCCTCCTCCTGAGTTCAAGCACCTGGACTTCACAGGTGGCCAAAGAGGTTGGTGAGGACACAGCTGCTGGGCATTCGAACTCCTGGAAAAGATGGTAATTTTGCTCCTACTCCTGGGGGAATAAAGCGGTGGAAAAGAGCCTGTCTCCCTAGAGTGCTTCTGAATCCTCATCCCCAGAGGTAGAATCATGTTATCCAGTATCTGAAACACAAGCTTCCAGTTCTTGTTAATACAGTGACTCCTGACTGTAGACCTCGGCCCCTGCACCCCCAGGACCCTCTGCCCCTGCAGAGGGACCACGAAGTGCGCGAATAGCTGACTGCACAGGTGTCACCCCCCAGCCACAGCCCCAATGTGCACGCCCCCCCCCCCATCCACACCAGGACACATTACATCGTGGACAGAGAGACATTTACAGTGGGTGTGTGAGGCCCAGCCGGGGCCGCAGCCTCAGGCAGGGTCTGCCCTTTGGTCCTGGGGTCCTGGGGTCCTGGGGTCCTGAGGCCACTCTGCAGCCAGCATCCCCGTCTCAGTGTTTGATCTCGAGGATGGAAGGGTTGTGGTCCAGGATGGCAAGGATGATCTTGTCCATGTACTGTCGCAGCCGGAAGTTGATCTCCTCCTGCTCCTTGAGGGCTTCCATGAGCTGGAGGAGGCAGGACAGATGGTCAGAGGACGGACCGGGCAGGGGCCCAGCTGCCTGGACTCACAGTGAGCCGGGCTGTAAGTCAGAGCTCAGCAGACCCTGTGCAAGGCAGCCCCACGGCCAACCTCAGCACTCGGACGCTAGGGCACCAGTCTAAAGCCCGGCTCAGCTCACGCCCGAGGCAGGTGCTACACCAATGCCCCGCCCCACCCCCCCCCCCCAGAGGTCTGATTTAACTGACCTGTGCAGGGGCTCAAGGGGTAAGTTTTGGTAAAAGCTGAGAACGCTGGCCAAAGGCATTTATAACCAAGACTGACATCCCAAGTCCCTGGGCCCTGAGACTGTAAGGCTGTTTCCTCAGACTCGAGCAGCTCCCTGACTGCCGCTGGCCCGCCATCGCCCCCCTCCAGGTCAACTCCTGACCAGTCCTTTAGGATGACACTGAAATCCTGCATCTGTCCCTGGCTCACCTGGGAGCTCCTGGAGGCCAGGGGTCAGCTTGGCTCTGTGTCCCCAGCACAGGGTTAGAGGTTCAGTGACAGTCTTAGATTCGTGTTAAAATGTAACCAGAGTATTCTGGAGGCCTGAACTTTTATAACCATACCCAGGTGGGGCAGAGAGAGGGAGCTTTGATGCTTTGGGTCCCTCTGCCTCCACAGGCTGTGACCCTGTGCCCTGGTCCCCCAGTCTGTTCAGAGAGCCTCCAGCTATGAGAAGATTAAGTGAAGACACACTGCCAGCAGGTGCTTGAGCAATGCCAGTGCCCTCCCTCCCTTGGCTGGGAGGAGGGGAGTCCAGACTCCCCTGGACTACATGTAATGCAACCAACGGACCTTGTCAGCACAGGGCTGGCTGAGCTGAGACTCAGATTCCAGCCTGCTCCCCAGCCTGGACTCCTCCCACTGCATGCACGAAAGCAGAGTTGATTCAATTTTCCCCGCAGCTCTGCCACGTCACGGAGGGTAGTTGCAGATGGGGACTCTCAGGGTCCAGGCCCAGGCCTGCTTTTCCTGCTCTGGCAGCCTGGGGCTCCACATCGGGGCAGGTTGGGAGGGGCAGGACTCAGAGGAGGGCCAGGCCCCAAAGCAAGAGCAAGAGCAAACGGTCACGCTACCTCATCGCGAGAGGCTGTGTCTATTTCTGCAGCCAGAGACTGGGCTTTGGTCTGGGTGGCAAAGAGGTTCTTTGCTTCGTAGAGGCTGAGGCTCAAGATCTGCCCATTCAAGTCATCATTCTGATCCCGCAGCTTGTGGTTCTCCTGTGAGCAGGCCCAAGGCACCATCAGTTCCCAGAAGCATCCAGCACCCACCGGAACCCACTTGTCTGCATCCATTGTCCCCCGACTCCCAGCAGGACCCTCCCCTCAGGCGTGTGTCATGTCAGGACATCCACAGATGATGTGGCCTCTGCCAGGCTTGGGGTGGGGAAGGGCTGGGTACCGGGAGGTCACAGGGTTCTTGGAAGCCACAGCCCCGCTCAGGGGAGCCAAGTTTCCAGGCAGGAGCGTGGTTTTTGGCTACCTTCCTCCCTGGGGTGGGCGAGCCAGAGTGAATACCCTGAGGCCCTGTGTGAGGACACTGCCCACCCGGGCGCTCCCCCAGCAACAGCCCTCGATGAGAAAACGTGGTGCCTTGGGGTGTCCGGGCTGGCAGGCTGGCTCATCTCCCTGGCTCCTCCTGCAGCCGGGCTTGGGAGTCCTGCTGTGGCAGCTCTTTCCAGGTGCACCCACACTCCCAGGAGGCCACCCTCGGTGTCCTGCCCAGACCCTGGTTTACCAGCCCCATGCTCTAGTTTTTGCCTGAAGGCTCCTACCGGCTCACACCTGGGCCCTCGGGCGCCCCCTTGTGGATGAGGAGAAGAGCAGTGTTTCAGGATGGCTGTGGGAGGGTGAACACCAGCATCTCTGCCTTGGCAGAGCCAGCTCAGGGGTGTAATCTACACAGCAGTCTCCCGCCCCCAGGGCAAGGCTAAGCGTGGGGCTTCAGCAACCATCACTCCTTCCATTGGTTACGGTCCCTCCTGACCCAACTGACCCCTCCCCTGACTGGTCTCTAATTCTGGATGTGCTCCTAGGAACCATCTGAAATGGAACCTTGGGCTCAGGGCCTGCCAAGACCCCCCAACACAGGGAGGCACCGATTTTAGGCTTGGTGGAGTCTCATTCTCCACCTCATGTGCGCAGCACAGAAAAGTGGTCTCTGTTTCTTTTCATGGATGCCAAAGAAAGACCCGGAAATTTCCATCAGCCACAGCCTAGAGGTGAGCCTCCATGCCTGGGCTGGGAGAGGCGGGCCGGTAGCCCTGACCACCACGCGGTCAGCCAGAGCAGACAGCAGCACGCATGGGGGATGGTGCTCAGCTCTCGGCCCCCTCACAGGAGGCCCACCCTTGGGGGCTTGGACACCTGATCACGCCCTACAGAAGCTCCCAGGGCACACCTGCTTGAGCCGCTTGATCTCGTGCTCCAGCTCCACCTCGCGCGCCCTGGCGCTGAACTCGCCCAGGCCGGAGGATGAGCTGCGGCCCCTGCCTGGCCGCTCGCAGTCCAGCTTGTACATCTGCAGGTGCTCCAGCTCCTTCCGCAAGTCCTCGATGAGCTGCATGGGACAGAGGCCGGTTGGCAGGAGCGGGGCCACAGGAGGGAACCCTGGAGCCCTTGGCCTGGACCCACCTCCTGCGTTGCCTCCCGCTCCTTTTGGAACTCAAGGCGGTTCTGCCGCAGCTTGTCCATCATGCGCTTGTACAGGTCCATCTCATCCTTGAGCCGCAGGCTGGTGTCCTCCAGCCGGTCGGACATGCGCTGCCGTTCCTGGAGCCCAGAGGACCGAGTCAGCGGGGGGCGGGGGGTGGGGGGAGGGCTCCCAGAGGGGCTCCCTGTGACCCGGGACTTCCCTGAGGGTCTGTGTCAGCCACTTAAGGAATGGGCAACCAGACCAGCCCCCCAGACGGAGCCCTCCGAGTCACAGCTTAAAGAAACATCCAGATCCCCTAGGATTCTAGACACACAGCTAGAAAAACCTCAGGCCTCTGGAGTCCTTCAACACTGCCAGGTGAGACTTGGCTAGAAGGCGGCAGCCCCAACAGAAGCTAACCTTTGTCTCTTTGTTATTAGTTCCCCCCATTATATAAGGAAATATCTCACTGCAGAAAATTTGGAAAATCAGAAATCCAGAAAGACAAAGTATTATTCATATTTTGTTGCCTTCTATTGCTAGGGTAATTTCATTAGAGTTTTAGAAACTAGAAACTGAGGGCCCTGACGGCTGATGCTGCCTGTGTGCGGACTGGGGCGAGGCCCCACCCTGAGGCGCAGCCCCACCCTGAGGCGCGCCCAGCCCCCCCCCACCCCCCCGCACCTCGTCCAGCTTCTCCGTCTGCGACTTGAGCCGTGTCACTGTTGTTCTGAGCTCCGTGTTTTCCTCCTCCAACTGCTGCACCCTGGGAAAAGCACGAGGACAAAGGATCAGAAATGGAGGTCATCTTAAGTTTGACAATCTGTGGCGATCCTCTGCTCCCTGGAGGAGGCAAGATACCAGAAAGCAAGAGAGAAAATATAAATAATTCCAAATGATATAATACAGCCTTGAGCTTCCTGCCATCCAAGGCAAAATGGTAAAGACACTGAATTTCCCTTCTTATTTTCTTGATAAAAGGACACTCATGTGTGAATAAGAGCATAGATTTTTCTTTTTGAGCGCACCCTTAAGGCCTGAAATGAGAGGGGGCAAGTTTGCCTCCTACGAGGAGACAGTCTCCCCTGGGTTGTCTGCGATTCAAAGGCAAGGACCACGTGTGCTTCCCATTCTCCCCCAGCACCTCGCCCAGGGCTCCTCCCTGCGAGCCTCACTGCAGCTGCCTCTGACACCCACAGGACTTGGTTCCAGTAGTCAGAATCCTCTACATTAGCATCCACCAGGGACTGTCCTACTGGGAGCCCTCGAAAGGGCAGCCCAGGCGCCCAGGTAGGTTTGAAATGTCTGAGAACAGGGGCAGGTGAGCTGGGGTGTCAGTGGCACCCGAACTGTGCAGGGTCATTTCAGACGTGCACTCTGAGAAGGCCACCCCACGGGGAGCGTGTGATGGAGGAGGGTGTGAGGAACAAAGCACATCGCGTGACTGGGGGGGGGGGACTGTCTGCATATTCTATGTGAACAGTGCCCTCTGGAGTTGTGCAAGGGGTGTGGGTTAGGAGACAGTTCCCACGAGGACTTGCTTTCTATACTTTGGCCTCTGGCCCACACTCCCTGTCTTCCTCCACCACCGGCTCCCAGACACCTCTCTCAGGCCAGCCAACCGGGCCAGCTGTCAGAACAGACAGAGAACAGTGACACTTAGTGAGGTTTCAGCCTTCAGAAACAGATGCAGACAGCAGCTTCTAGAACGTGAGTGAAAATTTACATGAGCCCCTGGTCGACACTGTTAACAAAGCAGGTCTCGGGCACAGAGGAGACAGGAGGGCTCCTCAATGAGTGCAGAAGGGCACCAAGTGCCCGGTCCCCTTGGTTCTGCATGACCTCGGCAGGCAGGGAAGCCCCTGCTCCAGCTACTTCCGGGCTGGGAGCCCACCTCCCACCCTCCCTCCACCCCAGGGTGGGCCCAGCAGGCACCAAGAGGTCTCAGCTCAGACGCTGGGGCCTGAGTGGGACCGAGGAGTGTGGGGGCAGCTGTCTTCCCGCCTGGGGCCCGGGTGGCCTCCTGGCCTGGCTCACTGCTGAAGGCAGCCTCGGGACGTCACTGCAGCCCTCGCCTGTCGGCAGAGCTCTGATGGGCGTCAGCTCACCACCCTCACAGTCACTGCGGAGACACTGAGGCCAGCAGAGTGGCACGGTACGTTCAAGCTCATGGACTGGAGGGAGGCCAACCGAGAACCCCAGGCCGACACCCCTCTCCCTATCTGCCTCAGGTTCGAGCGTCCGGATGAGGCCCAGGAGCCTAAATGCCCCCTTTTCCACTTACCACAGCCCTTGGAGCTCAGGGTCAGGAGAGAACCTGACAGCAGGGGGAGCTCCAAGCCTGGACACCGGGCCCATCCCGGGAACCAGGGCGACACCGCTGGTTTTTTGGGGTGTTAACCCATTCTTTTGTTGACAGACATGCACGTTGTTTCCAGTTTTATCTGATATGAACAATGCTACTGCGCACATCCTTTCACATGCTTCCCAGAGCGCATGCCCACGTGTTCAGGTATCCAAGGCAGAACTGTTGGGGCACGAGGCTTTGCCTCCGGCTCAGTTCCCCACCTACAAAACCAGACGGCAGCAGCTGCCCTAGCAGCCTGCGGGGGTGTCAGAGACAAGGCCCACAGAAAGGCCGTGGCCCCCGCGCCGGGCCCACCTGGTGTGCAGCAGCTCGATCTCCGTGCTCTTCTCCCTCTCCAGCTTGCTGTAGGCCTCCCGGTGTCGCCGCGCCTCCTCCTCCAGTGCCTGCTCCGCCGTGGTCTCCTGGTCCTTCACCATCTCCTCCAGCTCGTGCACCCTGAGGAGAGGGGCGTGGACCCCAGTCCAGGGCAAGCTCTCGTGGCCTGGTCCTCTCGCCCTGACCCAGGCTGTGGCCATGGGCAGCCCTGGTCACTAACTCCTGTACTGTGGGAGGTGGCAGCATGTTTGTCAGGCCTGGGGGACGGCAGCTTTGCTGACAGATGAGTTAGGGACACCAAGGCACCTAAGGGGAGGCGTGTCAGCCATGCGTGGGGCACGGAGGGGCAGGCCTGGCAGTGGGTCCAGGGGGAGCGAGGCTCTGCCTGAGGCGGCGGGACTCCTGGGGCCAGCACAGGGAGGGACGCCAGGCCGCACCATAGGTGAGTGGAATGGCCCTCAGGTCTCACCACCTCCTTCTGCTCTCTCTCTTCCTAGCCTGCACCTCCTTAGAGAACAACTCAACTCTGGGGCACCCTCACTCTGGCCAGTGGCCCTGAGCATGCCAGACCTGGGAGAGGGCCGGGCCCCTCTGTGGACGTTATAACCCCACTACGGGTGGCCTAGGCAGTACCTCAATGTGAGGTGTGCTTCCCTGGCAACAGTCCCTCCCTGAGGCTGACCTTCTGCAGGGGCAGCGAGTCTCAGGCTGTCGCATGAGGACAGCCAAACGCTACACGTGCTAACACGTTACAGGTGGCACTGGGGGGCCGTGTTCAGTGGGCCTCCATCAGGAGGAGGGAGCAGCAATGCTGGGACTTTTCCCACCGGCAGCAGGTGGGGGACCCCACTGACACCAGCCTCTCCCTCTGCAGCGCTTGTCTCCAGGAAGGGAGGTCAGGACAGGGAGACAGGAGAGTGGGTCCCAGCTCGTGCCTCAGACATGGTCTGGGGCTACAGGCCTAGGGGGTCAGGGTCAACGTCCACCTGTCTCCCTGTCCCCACAGACCTGCCCTCCTGGGTGCCCTGCCTGGGCAGAGCCAAGCAGCAAGGGGACGATGCATAATAGCCACTCAGAGCTGCACATGCAGGTTACTGCCCCTTAGCTTCTCTTGGGGCCTTGGCAACAGGGACAACCTTCTGTCCCCAGAGTCACAGCCAACACTCCAAAGCCAGGGTGATGGCCCCTGACCTGTGCACCAGCTGGGTGTTCTCCTGCTTCAGCTTGCTCTTCAGGTCACCATTGGTCAGGCTGTCATTCTCCAGTTCTGTCACCTTTTTCTCCAGGAAGCTCACCTACAATATGGGGGCAGAGGTGGGGATAGAGAAGACCTTGAGTCCCGAGGACTGAGAACCTAGAAGCCATGGGACCAATGGGCAGGCCCTCCCACCAGCTGTGTATGGAGAGAGCAGTCACATCTGGTGGGAGTGAGGATGGGGGTGGGGCAGACATGCCCTTGTGATCTCAGGCAGGGATCCCGAGTCCAAGAAAGCATCCCGGAGTGCTCCCTGCCACCCGCCAGGAGCACGCACACACACAGCAGTGCCTCCTCCACACAGGGCCCACCTTCTCGGTGATGTCGTTGTCACAGGAGTCGATGCTGTCCCGGAACAGGTCCTCGGTGCTGCCGTTGCTGCTGCTGAAGTTGCTGCTGTGCATGAGCTGCCTGCGGGGCGGAGGGCGGCATGTCAGCAGCAGCCTGTGGGGACTACGGTCCAGACTCAGGCCATGGCCTGGCGAGCACCCAGAGCCCCTCTAGGGAGGCTGCCTCACCTAGCCAGGGGAGAAGAGCTGTCTGACGTCTGAACTCACAAGATCCTCCAGCTCAGAGGATGTCAGGTGGGCTGTGCGCCACCCCTCGGAGCCCCTGGCAGACATGGCCAGCCCGTCACAGCTTGTCTCTGCCGCTTTAGAACCCTCCGCTTGCAGGTGTTCTAGCCAGTGGTTACCAAGTGACTGAGCTGGTGGATAAGCTCCCCCGCTTCCAGCTAGAAGACCACCCAGTGGAGGCAGCCTGGCTCCACAGTCCCAGCCGGAGGTCTGGGGCCCTGAAGGTCACCCCATAAGTAGGACTCAGCCCTCCTGCTACATCCCTGGGGACCTGGGGGAGGGCAAAGGGAGGCAGACCACCCAGACTGAACTGGGCAGTGGGCTGGTGAGTGCGGGTGCTCGGTGGCAGCTGCCAGAGCCCCTAGGGCAGATCTAGGGCCAGCCTGTAGGAGAACCACAGCAGGATCCGGGCGGTGCCCGGGAGGCAGCTCCGCAGGATGCAGCACGGAGCAAGGCCACCAAGCCCCTGCCCCCGACGGCAGGAAGCCCAGGGTCTCTGCTGGTGCCGCTGCCAGCTCCAGGGCCCGGGAAGGGCACTGACACTGGCAAGGTGGGCTGTGTTCCCAGGCTCCGGCGTGCCTGCCTGGGCTGGGGCAGCTGAGGGTTTGGAGATGCTGCCTGCTGCCAGAAGGGACCGGGTGGGGACGGAGAGGAGGCTGGCCCTTCTTTTTCAGAAGCGCGTTTCCCCCGGTGCTCTGCCTGCCCTGCCCTGCACACCTCGCTCCCCTCGGCTCATGGAGCTGCACGGGGGGCGCGGGGCGCCGCCTGGGTCTGGGCTGCAGGCGTGGAGCTGGCCGCCCCGGCAACAGGAGTAGTGAAAGGGGACAGTAGTCACCCTGTCTTCCCCGGGGGGGGGGGGATGCTTACCGTCCAAAGGCCGTGCTAGAGATCTTTCGGTTGGGGCTGAGAGAGAGAGAGAGAGAGAGATGGGAGAAGTGGTCACTGAACGGTGACACTCGGGGTTATTCCTTACTCTGCCCTGGCTGCGAGACCCCGAAGTGCAGGGTGAGCCTCTTCCTGCCCACCAAAGGGACGTCACCCTGGCTCTCCTGTCCTAGAAACACGCAGGCCCCGAGGACCAACCCCGCTCTGAGTGCCCTCACCTGCCAAGACAGCCTGGGGCCCCCTGCCGGCTGCTTCCCCTGCGACCCCCCGAGCTGGCCACCCACCCCCACGCCAGGCCGCGGTCCCCACCTGTTGGCCTTCAGGTTCTTCAGTCGGGCTTCCAGGTCGTTCAGCAGGTTGATTTTCTTGCAGCACTGAGAGCAGTACACGTCCAGCAACTCGCTGTCGTACGTGTGCCGCACTTTCCTAGGCGTCTGCCCCGCGCTGGGTCCAGGGAGGAGACAACCCTGCTTTACTGCGTCCGGGCCTGGCCCACCCCACCCCAACGAGTGTACTTTACTGGACCCCTGACACCTGAGGACCCTGTGTGTGTGGCTGGGGGCAGGGCGTGGAAGGACAGCACCAGGCCTCCTCTCCCCCAAAACTCCCAAAGAGAAGAAGCCAATGAGTTCTACCCATTTTGCAGGTGGGGCAACCAAGAGCTAGTGTCAGAGTAAGTAATGACTCGGGTGCGCCACCTGGAGGAGCCCTTCGACACTGAGGTTCTAGAAAGCAAGACAACGAAGACCGCCCCCCTCCTTCCCCCAGCCTGCAGCCTCCCAGGTTGGTTCCTTCTTTCTTCCCCAAGATGTAAGGAGGGGGGAGGAATGCCAGACTCCCAGGCCCGGGAGCACAACCTACGTAGCTCAGGGCCTGCCCACTAAACCGCCCGGGGATGAGGCCGGGTGGGTCCTGCCACTTTTCCTGAACCCCCAACGCCATTCCAGACCAAGCGGCCACCTGGAAGACACTGAAGACCCCAGGTCCGAGTAGACGTTGGTCCTGGTCTCGTCGTCGGGGCAGGGGCTGCTGGGGGCACAGTCCACGTCATCCCCCTCCCCGTAGTCTTCGAACTGCTCCTCGTTGCTGAGGAGCGAGGTGGTGGAGTGCGTGGACAGGTCCGACGTCATCATGGACGGAGTGTGGCCCAGGGACCTGGTGTTGGAGAAGGGTCCCCATTGGTGAGGGTCCCCTGCCTGGGGTGGGGGGCCTACCGGTCCTGCCAGGAGGTCCACTGGCACCACCGACGCCTGATGAGGCCTGTGTCGGTGGCCCGGTAAGCACACTTTCGGGACCTTGTCCTGCGGGGCATGTCACCACAGAAACTGTCTCTGCCCGAGAGACCTTCAAGCCAGCTGCTGCCCCAGAGCAGGAGACACTGCGTGTGACCTGGTGGCTCACCTGCAGCTCCCTCAGTGGCGCCGGTTAAATCATTACACTATGGGCTATCAAATTACTGCTGAAAGGTTTATAAAAATATTGGCAATAATGGGAAAAATTAATATTAGATATTGAAGTTGGACATAAAATCCTAGATAAAGGAAGACTGAGCAAGATAAAGGTCCACACAGAGTGAGGGAAAGTTGGAAATAAAAATGTTTACGTGTAGCAGAGCTTGGCTTTGGTGGTGGTGCTACGAGCAAAGTTAGTTATTTCCCCTGCTTTCTCACTTTCCCAGCTTTTTCAAGTTCTAGTCCATCGGCTTGTACTTCTTTAATGATGGGATGAAGTTTTAAAATAAATAGCAAGGAGCTACTAGATGAGATGCTTCTCCCAGGTTACAGAGGGGATTTCTAGTCCAAAAAAGCCTGACCCCAAAAACACAGGTCAGAGACCCCACGCCTCTCACAGCTGAGACACGCGGGGCCCGTGACGGGAAGGAGTCGGCTAAGCCCAGCCTGGAGCCTGAGGACAGAAGCGCGCACAGCCCGTCACCTGCCAAGACATAGCTTCCCGTTGTTACCCGTGGGTCAGGGTTTCTCCAGCCTCCTCGGCCTCCGCACTCAGGGACCAGAGACAAGTGTGTGACGTGTTAAGCCAGTGATTCCCAAACTGGGCCCCTGAGGAACACTGGGTTCTATCTGAGAATCACAGGTTAACATTAGGGTGCCAAAGGTCAAGGCTCCGAGTACTTCCACCTGAATGCGTTTACCTATCTACCTGCCCTCAGGTTCCTTGGCACCTTGGCTTACGTGCTCCTTTCTCCTATAAATTTAACTGAAACTCCTGGCACCTGCTGCTGGCTGCCTCCTGGTGACTGATGGTCCCAGGGATCAATGGGAACAATCAAGTGGCAAATGATTAGCCAAAAGGCCACCAGGTAGAGTTGGGGACTGTCCTCGGCTCGGCTGGTGGGCCTCTCCCAGGAAGTATGTGAACAGACTGCTCCCAGAACCCCCAAGTCTGAGCACTCCTGTGCTGAGAAAATCTATTAGGTTGAACCATATGAAATTGCCTTTTTGGAAAGGTTGAAAACTACTAAAAATTGACAGTTTCATGAGGTTCAGTCAATACAGGAACCCCTCCCCTGCCTCTCCGAATCTCTGGGTCAGCTCTGACCGTCACCTTCTCCTGATACGTGGGTGCCAACTCCCAGCTGCCTTGGCCTCCTCAGCTGGGACAGTGGCTGCTGGCCGCCACCCACACACACTGTCTCGTGCCCCCAGAGGTGCAGTGAGGGCCGGCAGGGGGGGCTCCCTCCACTGACACCAACTAAAAGACAACCCTGCCTCACTGGGAAGTCACCAGGTCCTAGTATTGTTTTTAAACAACATTTCTGATTATGAGAACATATAAGCAATAAATAAAAGAGAGAATATATAGCACAGTAGATGCAAGGTAATTAAAACGATCGATACCACCACCCTGAAAGAACTGCTAATTTTCCAGAATTATTTTCCTACAGGGATTTATTTATTTATTTATTTTAAACAAAACTAAGATCATACCTCATTATATTTGTAACCTGCTTTTTAAAAACTAATTGAGATCGTATGCCCCACGTCATCAGATAGTCAGTTAAACCTGACTTTGCACGGCTGCCTAAAACCCCAGAACCGGCCCTGTCGGTAAGCCCTCAGGTTGCTCAGAACCTCTGGCTGTTGAGACCACCTGTGAAACTAATGCCCGAGAGGCAAACCCTGAGTGCATCTCCTGTTCAGCCCCCGGAGACCCTGCTGGGGACGGCGCCTCTGGGCCCAGGGCCCCTGTGGAGGCCCCCGCGGCTGTAACTCACTTGTCCTCTGGCAGGAAGAGGCCCCCGAGACCCCCATCCTTCTCCTCAGCAGGACTCCCGACCGACCCCTCCAGGCTCTGGGCGCTCTCCATGGGGCTGTCCATGTCTAACTCCGGGGGTCCCTCGGGCGGGGCCAGCGTCATAGCCTCCTCCTCATCCTCAGGAAAGAAGCCGGGCTCCCTGGGGAGGAGCTCGCCGTCAGCAAAGGTGGGGCCGGGCACCTCGCTGCCCTGGGAAAGACAGAGTGACACAGAGTGAGTGACGTTGCCTCCCTAGGGCTCAGCGTTTGTCATGGCATGGCAGGGACACTGGCAGGGACACTGACAGGGACACGCTACTAATGAGGAAGCCCAGGCACCCCACCTAGTGCAGGGACCCTGAGACCCCAGGTGGGAGGACGCCTGCCAGGTGACTCGTCTCGGGGCCTCTCACACTGCCCGCCTCACGGGAGCCCAGCGAGGAGTCACAGCCCCCCGGGGACAGCCACCCACGGAGAAGGGCCACAGCTGGACACCCATATCGCTCAGGGCACCCGGGCAGCTCATCAGGGTCCCCATCACAGAGTCCACACAGGAAGCCAAATATCTTGGGAGAAAGATTCTTGGTGACGGAGTTCAGGGCACAGCCACAACGAGTGGCCGCTGGGAACAAGGCCCCTGCCCTAGCAGGGCGGGTGGCAGCACGGCACTGGGACGTGGGCACAGCATGACACGGACCCACTGTCCACGATGCTGGGCATGTCCAGTAGCCTCTCAGAACCTCGGCTGCATGTGGGAACGGCAGTGAGATCTTGCAGGACCACTGTGCCACAGCAGAACCTCAGGGACTGAATCCCGGCCACAGGACACGATGCCGACCCGGGGCGAGGGGCGTGCCCCGGCCCGGCTGCAGCTCCGAGGGGCAGCAGGAAGGCCAAGGGTCTCAGTTCTGAGCTCTGGGCTGGTCCCTGGGGCCTAGCACACTGCCCGGCACTGACCCTTCTGTTAAAATCACCTGAACCTCTTCCCAAGCTCCTTTAGCAGGCTCCTTGGCTGGGGCTGGCAGGGCCCCCCACTAAAGTGCTTCCTCCAGCCCCCAAACTGCAACAAGGGTAACAGTAGCGGGGGCTGTGGAAAGCCTCCAAGCGTCTCAGACAAGATCAGGGTCAGGGGCCTGGGAGGAAGGAGGTCGGTGGCAGGCCTGGCTGTGTGTGCCCCGATGTGAGCAGCAGTGGTGAGCAGGCAGCCCCCCTGGGCCTGTCCCCACCAAGACATGCTGGGCTGAGAGGAGATGGTAATTAGTGAGCGTGGCTCCTGCCGGTGCTGTGGCGGCAGCCAAGCACCAACCAGATGGACCAATAAAGCCAGCATTGGGCAGCCGGCCCCCCGATTGGAGGCCGAGGGGCTATGTCATTACCACCACCCCTAGTGCTCACATAGCCCTCTCCACCTAGCCATCACTAATCCAGTCCCTCGAAGCCCCCAACTCTATCCATCTTGCTCCCTGAGCAAACGCTTCAGCTGCGAGTCCAAAGCCGCATCCCAGGGGAGACAAAGGGAAACTGACACTCACTGTGCAGCCACCAAGTTTGGGAGACTGCGCTGAGAGCTGACATATTATCCCTTTGGGCTTCGTGACAACTCTTCAGGACAGCGATTCTTATCCCGTTTTACTAATGGGGACATCAAGGCTCAGAGAGGCATCTGCCGAAAGTCCTCCAACCTGTCTCAGGAATCCCACCTGCCTCCGGCCGCACGCTTGCTTCCCGTCACCACTGACGCAGCCCACCCACCCTTCACGGATTTTCAACCCTCGTGGTGACGACGAGGACAGTGTACGTCACAGGGACACATGACCCCCTGTGACACCCAGGCATCCCCCAATGCTGCCATTCCCATGTGCTGCCCGATTCCTACGCCCAGAGGAAACCCCCGAGCTAGCACGTGGGCACCCGGAGAGAAAGCAGGCAGGAGGGAGGCAGCCCCCCAAGGACAGCCAGGTCCCTGGATGGGCAGCGCGCGCTCTGCTCCCAGACCCACCGCAGGGAGGCTAGCACCGCCGGGAAGCCCAGCTCTATGGCTGCCAGGAGCACCAGCCACTGTGCAAACAGGCATGTTCTCCGGTCCTCGCAACCCTGGGCGCTGGTCCCCTCTCCCCCGAGGTGCAGGAGAGGCGACCTGCCTGGGCCACGTGGGGACTGGTGAGAGGGCTGAGACTGGGCTGTGAGTCAGCAGCACCCACTCTCCACACCGCGGTTGCCTGCCCTGTTTCATGCGGCAGGAAGGGCACCAAGAGAGGCCAGCATCTGTGAACGAGTGTCCACATTTCTGCCGGGAGCTCTGCCCGGAGACACCCAGCTCAGAGCATGCAGGTGGGGACCAAAGGCCCCCCTCACCTGACATCTCACAGCTACGAACCCAACCCGTGGCAGCTCGCCCACGGTCCCAGCCAGGGTGGCCTCGAGTGGCGTGCCTCAGCCGCAGGTGGGGCGGTAGAAAGGATCAGACGCCCCACAGAGGCCTCTCCCTCCCAACAGGATGGCCACCTCCTGAGGGGCATTTTCATCCTCTGACTGAGCAGGGTCCACGCGTGCCTGGTCCTGCACACTTGACAAAGCATCCTGTCTGTCTGTCCGTCCCCCACAAACTCCCCATTCACCTCTCACAACAGCCCTGGGAGAGCTCAGGGAGGTGTTCAGATCAGAGATCAAGGATTTACTGTCCTCATCTGACATGTGGGCAGATGAGGCTGGAGTGGCCCGGGGCGGGGGGCGGCGGCGGGGGCGGGGCTGCCCGGGAACGCCCCAGCCACAGGGACCAGAAGCCAGGCCCCACCCACCCTCTCCCTCTCTCTCTCAGAGTCAGTCTTTACTCTTAAAGTCAGCTGCTCCCTACATTAACACCTTTTCAGTCAACACACAATTATTTGCCCAAAGCAAGTGGAAATTTTAATTATAACTTCAAAACCATTTCTTGTAATTTCCTCTGCAATTCAAATAATACAAAGACAGCTGTAAGAAAATGAACTGCACCTCAGTTAGTCCAGGACCGCAGCACTTGGGCATCTGTCCTGGACAGAAGCGTCCCTGTGGCCCAGCCCCCCCTGCCCCGGGGCCCTCTCGGGAAGGGCCTGGGTGCAGCACTGGGCCTGTGAGGGGTGCTGCTGGGGCTGGGGACAGCCTGCTCCCATGCCAGCACCTCAGGGAGGGAGGCAAGGCAGGGGCGGCTGCTGGAAGGGGCTGGAAGGCAGCTTCTACTCACTGGCTGGGAGAACCCAAAGTCACACTAGAAACCCTTCTAAGCCTGTTTCTTTCTTTTATGTTTTGTAGATAAAGTTACAGAGTGAAAGGAGGAATTCATCATAATAAAAATATTGTCCTCACAGGGTTTCTAGGAGGACTGGGGAGATGCCGGGTCTCCTGAGAGCTAAGTTACCCTCCAGCCAGGCCGCCAGGGCAGGTGGGGCCCAGCACGGAGCCCCCAGGTCACATGTGCTTCCAGGAACCCGGAGGTCTCCAGGGAATGTGAAGGAGCTAAAGATTAATCCGCCCTCAGGTGGTGAGGCAAATTCTACTGAAGCTGCAAGATTCCAGCAAGTTCCCCGACAAACCCAACGCTGATTCCAGGCAGAGGGAGCCTGGGCTGCAGCAGCCCCTGTGATGTGATGAGGAGGAGTCAACCCCATGACAGTAGAGGCGTGGGCACCTCATGGTCGCTGGCCTTTCTAGGTGAGAACCTTGAGGCCCAGAAGGCCGCCTGCGCCCGACCCGCTCCACAACAGTGTGCTCCCTGAGGGTGCGAGGGGAGCTGAGTCCTGCTCTGGAGGGGCGGCAGAACCCAGGGAGTGCAGGGTCAGTTTTCACGGAAAGGGTGTGTCTTTTTGGGAAGGAGGGGTTTAGGGAAGAGACAGTGTCCTCAGCAGGCAGCACCAGGAGACCTCTGTGGGTGACCCCTAGTCTTAACACTCTCCCCGGGACCACAGCCAGCCGTGGGCATAGAGCTCCCTGTTCCTGAGGGCACAGGCCCAGCCACTGTGGGCCACACAGGTGTGGGTGACATATGTCCAGACCACTCCGGGTCATTCCTCCCACCCCGCTGAGGGACCCCAGAAGTAAAGGAGGTGAAGCAGACGCGGTAGCCCCCGCAGACCCTTGTGAACGCAGCTGAATGAGGGCGCGGCTCTGGAGCCGGCAGACTGGGTGTCTCGTCCTGGCTGGCCTGGCCACCCACAAGTGGTGTGACCTTGGGCAAGTGACCCATGAGCCCCTGGCTCCTTACCTATAGAATGAGGACAGTCACCTGAACCTCAGAGGCTACTGTCAGGGCCACACACGATCCTTTTCACGAGCACCAGAGACTGTGCAGCTGCGGGGGTGTTGAACCCTGCCCGACCTGGCCGTGTTAGGGGCTGCATGTTGTGCGGACCAAGCTGTCCCAGCCGGTCAGTCAGCAAGGTCCTGGTCAGACAGGAGGCCAGGAGGTATGCTCACCTCAAAAGGCTGGGCCTGGGAAATTATCCAAGACCAGGGGTTTCTGGAGAGCTCTGGGGCCCGAGGCTGGGGAAACAGGCTGCTCTGCCAGGGGAGGTCTGCGCCACCAGCATCCCCCCTGCGTCCCCACCCTGTCCCCTGCCGGGACTGGATGGAGCTGGCAGTGGCTGGAGTGGGCGCCTAGAGGCACACAGCCTGCCTGTGGGTCCTCTCTCCAGTCTCAAGAGCACTGTTCACCAGCCAGCAGGCCCCAAAGTCACCCCTTCCTCCGTAGGAAGTTGGCATGGGCTGAATTCAGTGGCTGGTGAAAGGCCAAGTATCCATTCCCAGGGGGACCATCCAAGCCTCGGGGTGGCCGACAATGCCCCACTGTCCGTGCTCTCGGCCGAGGGGCCCAGGCTCGATGCCGTCCTTTGGTGCCCCCCTCGCCCACCTGGCCTCAGCGGAATCCCACCCCCAAGTCACATGCACCGTTACTCCGCTTTTTCCTGGAAGCTAACGTGGGGCAGTTGAGGGGCAGTGACTCCAGGGGACCCGTTTCCACATTCCCTGGGGGAGGGGAGACCCTGCGGGGTAATCACGGGATGTCTACATCTGAGCCACCCCACCCAGTCCCACTGCAGGGGGTGCGCGGCAGGTGCCCAGGCAGCACTCACGGAACTGAACCCGCTGCAGAAGGCCGGGCTGGGACGAGCCTGCCGTGGCAGCCCCGGGGCCGGGCTCCTATCCTCTTCGGGTCGCTGGCTGGCTTGTGACCTTGGG